AAAGATCTAAAAAAAAATTTTAAAAACGGGTTTTTTCACTAAAACTGATAATTAATACACTAAGCAACGTTTTCAATGAGTTCAGTATCCTTGACTAATGTAAATCTATATAAATATATAATATGATTATATACATACAAGCAAAATCGTTTTTTCTTGGGTTGAAAATCTTCCGAAAAAATTTGGGGTACTCAATGACGCGCGCCAAGTACGATAAAAATTTTTTTTCAATTATTATGACGGTTTCTTGGTATTTTTTTGTATTTCACAACATGAACGTGGACTTGGCGCAATTTTTTTACAGTGAAACTGTTTTTGTTCGGATAAATAATATATTAAAACGGCAGATGCCGTAAAATACTTTAAACATTTACTTAATTTTCATATACCTGGCTCACCTGAGGAAGCCCAAACCTACCGCCGCCGGGCTTATATTAGCTAGTATAGTACCCATTGCTTCTTTACTGGGTATATCAGTCTCACTGGACGAAATTTTAGGTACCTAAAATATTTGTTGTCAGTAGATTTAAGCCGGCTCTTCGACTATAAATAATGAAACACGGTAAAATAATTGCCTTAGATTTCACCTAATGTGTAATTTATCTTGGAATTTACACTTCTCAAAAACGATAAGTAAAATCAACTCGGCTTTATACAGCTTGAAACTACGCAGAAACATTTACACCTCATCAATTAAAAAATTACTTGTGTCGGCAACTATTTTACCATTAATTGATTATTGCTCCATTGTATTATTCAATTTAACCTATGATGATTACTGTAAACTCCAACGTTCTCTAAAATTACTTTTTTATAAATTATTAGATATTGGTAAACCCTGTTACTTGCGAGAATTATTTGATGAAGATTTTACTGTAAGACGCTCTGAGAGATTGGCAGCCAAAAAAATAACATCTTCATCAAAATGCCGAATTTCTCTACAACTCACAATGAATCTTCCTTCGTTGTTACAGTTATACGTTTATTATATAATTCTTAAGAATTACCAGAGGATATTATAAATTCCTCTAGCTTGGAAGTTTTAAAAAATAAGATGTTTAACTACCTATTTAATCTTGATGTATGATCTTTATTCATGAATAAAGATCATAAAATTACATGACTTCGTAAAATTACATAACGTCCATTGCACGCCTTATAAGCGAAGCGTTGAGGTTGTGCTCTACTCTCGACATTTAATCATTATTACCAATTATAATTGATGAAAATAAAAAAAATTTTTAATCAATTTTTTACCAGACATAGTATTAAAAATTACAATTATCGTCACTGAAATTAGCTTCAAAAATATTTTGGATAATAACTGCATCTTTTTTTCAACAGTGTGGCCAAACTTTAAGTTCTATAATTGAATTTTTTCTTTAAGGTAAAAGCCCCAATATATGATCATATTGATCATATACTAGTATATGATCATATATTATGATCACTCCATGTATTTGTATACCTACATTTGTGAATACAAATACATGGAGTAATCACATACTGGTACATGATTATCTATTGGGGCTTTAACCTTAATATGAAAGTTGTAAATAAATTACAATGTTTCTTAATGAGCTTTATTCTAAATATTTTAATTAAAATTCAACAGAATACACAAAACTAAAAGATAATTATTTTATATATTATTATGAATAGAGTATTTACAACTTACCTATTTTCAGCAATAATGTTTGTAAGGTCGAGATTTCAACTTAGAAAAAAATAGTAAAAATTGGAATTCTTTGATGATATAATCAATAAAATAATAAATCTTTATGTTTTAAATTCATTTTTTGTATTTTGGTTTCTTCATTCTCAGGATTCACATAAAAAAGATATATAGTGATGAGTATTTGATGAATGGGGACCACAAATAACTGGAATAATTAACTACAATATTTCTCCGAAAACGAATTACGCTTCATTTTTTTTTTTTTTTTTTTTAATTAGATATCATTCTCAACTTTGAAAATGAAAATTTACTTGAAAAAAAAAAAAAAAAAAAACTTGTATTAAATATTTTCAAATAAATGGCAACATCAAAAAATATTTTATGACCAGAATTTAATTTTAATTAAACTACAACATTTTATTTATTAATTAATATCAGACTTTAATTTATTTTCAGCTTCAAAAAATACGTCAGATATTAGTTTCTAAAAAATAAAAAAAAATATTAAAATTTTTTTAGTGGTAATTAAAATTCTCTGAAAAAAATAAATTTAGTTTTTCGAAAATTGGTTGACTAATAATTTTTCATAAATTTTATTAATGAAAACTTCTAAAAAATGAAACTAAAAATATGTAAGGATTAAAATACTAATGAATCTATAAGAATAATGAAGGGCTACTAATAATTATATTTAAATTATTACTAAGTAAAAAGGAAAAAAAATAAAAACCTCTTATTGAATGGAACAAATACATACTCAATAAAACACTAGAAAAGGATAACTATTTGGAAAGAAGATTGTTTTCCTATTATCTTAAATAATGAATTATTTTCGATTGTTGTCAATTGATAGGAATCAGAGTTCTCGCGTGCAATATCGAATGTTTTCCTTGTGTGGAGCTATGTACGAAGTAAGCAAAAGCATGCAAAATTTTAGTATATCATTGATACCTCTACTCATAAGAATCCGTGTCCAAATGCTTTCAGGTATTCAATTCCCACTGAACTGATATCCAAAATAAACTGTTACTCATACGCTCAGGACTGATCCTATGCTCCATTTTTTATCCACTGCGATAGAAGTAATCCCTCAATCTATATTATTGGTTCAAAGCTCTGTTCCACACAATTGACAAAATTTTAATAATCCGAGTTATTCCGTATCCACCGCGGTCGCAAATGATTCGCGAAAATTTATTAATCAAGTAATATGATATTAATCCAATATGGAAATATTCCAGTTAGAAAATCGTTGATTACTTTTTTTAAATTCATGCTAATTAATTCCGATTAATTCCACGTTTCATTTAATTTTCAACGCCACGTTTATGTTTGTGTTTTTTTTTTAATCCAACTGAATCCTTCGTTTATTGAATAACTGTTATTAAAGCATTCCTTTTTTTGTTAAATCCCACCGAAATGCAAGATCATATTATTAAGCTTAGTTATTCTTCAAATCCTCTTGTATTATTAATTAATCTTGTGATACCGATTGAACTACTGAAAAACACTGATTTAAAAATACACTGACAAAAAACGCGAGTTGTTTATCTATCTCCGATTGAACTAACGAGTAATTTGATAATAAAAAAATCCTTAAAGTCAAAATTGAGATGAAAATTTGAAAATTTTCGAAAAAAAAATTCAATCCTATTCCTTCCTTGTAAGTATAAGCGTTATGAATTTATCCGATTGAAAATCAACTAACAGTCACTTCCCACATTTCATCCGATTTTATATTCCTGATCCTGATTTTCCTCTTGTTAACATTTTCTTTATGTCCGATTAATCCCATCGACGATTAAGTTATAATTAAGTTGTAATCCTGTTTATAATATTATTCTCGGAATAAACTCCATCCAAAATACGCGGTCCATCCCATTCCATCGTCAAGAGAATATGTATAATATCCATCGAAGAAGTAACGTTCATGTGGGTATGAGTTTTTCATTCATTGTGTTATAATCCAATCCAATATACAAAAGAAGAAAAAATACATTAGTTTTTTTATTTTCGATGTCAATATATGTATATCTATATATATTAGTTAATTTAAAAAAAAAAAAATCGCACAAACAAATCTTGTAATTTTTAATTATTATACTGTTAATTCTTTTGTTTTCCTTCAATCATTATTAGCAATACAATATGATATATTTCAAATTTGTAAATTATTTTTTGTTTACAACTGAAGGAAAGCAAACAGATATCATAATGATTATTAAAGTGTCTAATTTTAATACCGAGTTTATTTTTATAAGATTTTAATTTTTTTGTCAAAGCAATAATACAAATATACACCATTAATTAATAAACTAAAAAAATCTGTCGTAATTATTTAAAACGACTCATCTTACGTATAAGAATTACACATTAAATCGGTCTGACAATTAGACACTTACCTAAATCTATACATATATGTTAAATCAAAAAGCTTTGAAACCGACTATTTTTTTTTTTGCTGATATTTTGTTTTTATAAACGTCATTAATTAGGTAAGAAAAACAATAAAGGATTATGGTCTGTACAGTATGATTGTAATGAACTTTATATTTTATTTTTAAAATTGAAATACGATATGATTTAATTGGAATTTATAGCAAATTATTTTCTCACACTTTTATAGATAATCTATTGTTAAGATTTTTAAATAAAAAATTGGCATGAATATTTATTTTTGTTTTAAAAATTGTGAATTGAAATGAAAAAGTAAAATTTGCTATGATAGTTTTAAAATAATAATCAGCAAAATAAAAAAATAGTTGATGTCAAGGTTCAAAGATCAAATATCGAAGGCTATATATATTTAATGTTAAATGTAGTCAACTATTATGTAAAGAAATTTTGTTTCAATCATGAATTGGTCGTTTAAAAAAGACCATATTTATTTGATTTTAAGCATTCATTCATTTTTAAGTATAATTTAATGTTTCATTCTTAATGATCATCTCACTCAGTAAAGTCAACGCGAAAAAATGAGCCCAACGGAATGTTATACTCTAAAAAAATGATCTTTTGCAATTTTATAAATTGACTGATTTTTTTTAATTATTCATTTAGCTTAATTAATACGTCAAGTATGCACTTATATAGATCCATGTTATTGTAATGAAATATTTTTATCGTTATAAAATAGAAAACAAAAAAAACCATTTAGAATAAAAAACAAATATTGGGTAAAATATTCAATAATATTATTTTAGTTCATTTGAATTGGAAAGTAAAGTTAATTGATATTCACATAAAAAAAATAGTGAGACGTGACAAAGCAAAGAAATCGTTCAACTTTCGATTATTTTATCATGTGAGACATACGTACACACTAGTCGTACGAACGAGACCTGGAGCGTGATCTTGATCGCGAATAATTGCGTCGTAATGGAGAGTAAGTTGGTGACCCTCGACGACGTGGGCTATAGCTTCGTGAACGACTTCGACCTCTTTCACGATCTTCACTGCGACCACGTTCACCAGTAGCATGATCTTCCTTTACTCTGATGTAAGCAACTTCACCCTATTAAATATATACAAACATTTCATAAATATTAGATGAAAATTTAGCAGATATTTGATAATTTATTGGATTTTTGTAAAAAAATTAGAAAAAAAATTGATAAGTAAAAATTTTTAAATATTAAAAATGCAATTTTTTAAAAATAATTTTTCAGAACAAATTTATTTGTTAAGGTAAGTGACCACATTGTAAATTAAAAAAAAAAAGATTTTTTTTTTTTGCATTTTCCAAATCCTTATACTTTTAAGAATCACCTTCAAAAATTTGAATTCTAAAATAGTGAAATTCGTTCAAGTGAAGAAACCATTTTTTTTTTTTTCAAATGGCGGATAGTTAATCTCCGAAACTAACCGACCGATTTCAATGTCTTTGGTCTTGTTTCGTTCCTTGAGATGTTTTGTAAGTTAATCTACCAGATTTTGCCAAAGAAAATTAATTGTAACATTTTTTTTTTTTTAGCAGAGAATAATGGAAAACGGGTATTTTTTCAACATTTTTTTTAAACATCCGTCATTTTTTTTTCTTTGGCAAATTGTAGTAGATTGTCTCGTAAGGGACTTTTCTTTTAAAGATTCCGTGTTTTTTTTTTTTTATTTTTCATATTCACCGATCCTGAAATTATCTGTCCGCCATAGAACAGCATTTTTTTTGAGGTCTCGAATTTGGCACCTCTTGGATAGTTGTTAAAAAATGAAATTAAAGAAAAATGAAATATTTTTGTATTTTATAAGCTTCAAATAAAAGTTAAAAAAAAAAATCATTTTAATATACAGAGCCTGAAAAAAAAAAATTATTGACAATGTTGTATTTTTTAGACTTCTAAGGTGGTTACCTACCTTAAATAAAATTAAAAAATGATCAAGTGATTGCTAACTTTAATGCCATAAGTTTTAGATATTTATCTTAAAATATTTAATTAAAAATGTAAAATTAAAGGCTTACCTCATGGGATCTGAATCTCGAGTCATCTAATTTTTTAACAGCATACTTCATATCTTCATATCGGAGAAATTCTACAACACCAGTACCATCTTTGTAAACGTCAGCAAAACAAACATCTCCAGCTTCTCGCATGTGGTCTTTCAAATCTTGCCAGCTACCAGAAGGAGGTAGTCCAGTAACTAGTACTCTATACTGTGACCTACGTGCAGGTGGACCTCGCCCACGAGAATTTCCCATGTCTCCACGACCTCCTCGGCTATTATCTCCACCTCCACGTCCTCCACGGAAATTATTACTCGGGCCACCCCCTCGAGGGAATTCCACCCTCAACCTGTACCCATCATAATCATAACCGTCTCTGGCATGAACGGCATCCTCAGCATCCCTAAAAACAATTATTATTTAATACCAGAAATATTAATTCTTTATTTTATTTTAAAAAAATATTTATGATTGTACCTTGGATCATCAAATTCGACGAAGGCAAATGGAGGTCCTCGACGGTTTTTCAAATCAACAAACGTAACTTTGCCAAATTTGTAAAATAAATCTTGGATATCTTTTGTTCTGATGTCTGGTGGCAAATTTCCTACGTAAATTCTACACTCGTTTCTTCCACCGTGAGACATATTGAAAATTATTACTGAGATAACACTCTTTGATTAAAAATATAAATATTTTATGATGGTTGCGTATTGTACTCGTATACCAATTTACTGTAAATTAAACAAAATGGCAGTTGCCGGTGAACTAGTAATACTTGGTGTCTGTGAAAAAAAAATAAAGCCACTGAGAATAAGGGAGGAAACCAAAGAGGTCGCTTTTCAATTAGTTACACATTATTTACACGGCGCTGTGTGTATCGCTCAAGGTTTGATCTTTAATAACATAATGGCTCTAGTCGCATTTAGGTGACACTACTTGTAGAGAGAGCGTTAATTTTAAATGTTACTGGTCAGCTGACAACTGTTAATTTTTTTAATTTTGACCACAGCTTAATTACAATAAAAAAATGCTTTGAAAAAATTTAACTAATAATTTTTGTTAATTTTCACATGTGGAATTTTTTGATTAAATTTTTTTCGCAATAATTTCATTATTATAAAATTCTAAAAAAATTTCTGTCTGTCAACTTCACGGTCTTTTTTTTTAAATAATAATTTTACACTAGCTGTAAGAAGTAAATTAATTTCAAGAGATAATAAGCAACTTTTTAATTCTAATTATACTTTTTAGTTTAATGAAAAAATTCCATATGTAGAAATTGAAAAATATTAGAAGTGCGAATTTTAAAAAATATTTTTTTTTATTATAGTTTACTTATTATAAAAATTCCAAATATTTTCAGATGTGTGCTGATTTCAATTTCATATTTTTTATCCTTAGATTACCTTAATATACAATGAACCTTCACCATTCGTTTTCTTATAAAGTACTACATTTGCTATTTACATACAGGTAAACAATACAAAATAAATTATTGCTCAAGATTTTTTTGACCGTATTTTACAATTAATAAAATTAGTACATTTTATTAATTAAATTAAATTATTTTTCTTTTCACAATGAAATTGATGCTCTCGCAAAAACAAAACAAAAATATCTACTTTATTGCGTATTCAATTTTAGCAAAAAGGATTAAAAAAAAGGAAAAATTGATAAATAAATCAATTAATCAAGAATAAATTGATACAATTAATATTGTACATAACTTTTAAAGATTATAAAACAATAGTTTGCTTTGAAGATTAAAGTCAAAATAATAAATGAATATTTTTTAGTCCCAGCGAAAAGTATACTTTTGAAAGTTACACGCCAGGGTAATATCACAAAGCGAATTGCGAAAAAAAAAAAATAATTTTAATTTAATTAATAAAATTTAACAATTTTGTTAATTGTAAAATACAATCAGAAGGAAATGTTGTGCAATAATTTATTTTGTATTATTATGCACTATAGATTGAGATGCCTGATGAAGGTACAATAAAGAACCGAAACGTCGCTGAATTGATCATCGGTACTTGTTAATTTTTGGGCAAATTCCTGCCAAATTTAACTATAAATAATTTAAGCTCGTTATTATATCTTGAAGAAGTCGATCCAGAGATTAATTTACCGAACCCTTTATTCACATTGTACATTAACAGAAATATCAACGGCGATGTTATCATTTTATGATACTTTTAGAACAAAATAATTAATTTCGAGCACATAGAATTGTTTTAGAGCAATGTTGCCCTGAACTACTTGGAGAGTTGATCAGTAGTGATGTTGTAATTTTTGACATCAGTCCTGAAATGGTAAAAATCATTCTGGAGTATATTTACATTAGAAACATCAATGAGTTAGACAACAATGCCCAACAATTATCAGAAGTTAATAATCGCTTTGAACTGAGAAAATTGAAGCAGCTGTGATTGATGCAATCAATCTAGATGATCGAAAAAACAAACCGACATGAAGAATTGAAGAAAAAATGTGGCTTACCTCTGTTAAAATTTTCAAATAGTTGAATATTAATAAATATACCTTAATGATACTACTCCAAATAAATAAAATTAAAATATAAATGAAATTAATTTTAATAAATGGCATGTTAAGGTTTTCAATATTATCCACAGATTTGGTAGAATCTGGCGCCAAGTTCCGTTCAAATCCGTTGTCAACGGTCCACAGATTGGGGTCATCTGAATGATCCGAACGGAAATGTAGCCAATGTAATAATTGTAAAGGAATTCAAAAACGTAGAATCAGAAATTAATGATGAGCCAACAACTCATTTTGGGTTTAAAACAGTTAAAGAACGTGATAAAAGTAAACAAGGTAATGAAATATAAACTATCTTTATATTAATGAAAATTAATTTAGCAGATATTTATATAATAATTTTTATAATTTTTTTAACAAATAAATTATGGGAAAAAAAATTGACATGTAGAAATTTTAAAAAATCATAAATGCAATTTTTTAAAAATAATTTTTCAGAAAAAATTTATTTGTTAAATAAAATTAAAAAATTATCAAGTGACTGTTAACTTTAATTTCATTCTATATTATCTATAAATAATTTATTAATAATTATTCTGTAATTAAAATTTCAGTTTATTCAGTATTTGAGAAAGTAGCTGATTCGTATGATGTAATGAATGATGCAATGAGCTTTGGAGTCCATAGAATTTGGAAAGATTTGTTCATTCAAGAATTATCACCATCACATGGTTGTAAATTATTGGATACAGCAGGAGGAACTGGTGACATAACTTTTCGGTACTTAAATTATTTAAATAATTTAGAAAATAAAAAAAAGATTAAAAGTTATGTTACTGTATCCGATATTAATCAAAACATGTTAGACGTTGGACAGTCAAGAGCTAAAAAATTAGGATTCACTCCAGAAATTGGGTACAATATAGATTGGTTGCAAAGTGATGCTGAGAGTCTATCTTGTCCGGATGAATCTTATACTGCTTATACTATTGCATTTGGAATAAGAAATGTAACCCACATTGATAAGGTACTGACACGAAAAATATTCTTTTGTTGAGTATAAATCAATATTTTATTTATATATCAAGGCTTATAAGGATTATTTTGACCGATTCAAAAATATTGATTAGGTATTATCTGAAGCTTATAGAGTTCTTCAGCCAGGAGGAAGATTCTTGTGTTTAGAGTTCAGTCATGTAACCAACGATTCTCTCAAATGGTACGAAACTCAGATAAAATTTATTTATTCTACTTTGATGAAAAAAAATCCCTATTTTAAAATATAGAATTTAAATATATTATTTTACTTCATTAATAGCATCCTGCAATCGCTACGTAACGTCGAGATTTATGCATGATGAATAAGAAAACTTTAGCTTAATGATTTTTTGATATTTATAATCACACTATATACAGTTTGGATAAATCTTAAAATCAATAGTGATATCACAGAAGCAATTACAAATAATTTAATGGAAAAATGAGACGGCAAAAATTTATAGAACCAACAAACTATTCAAAACTCTTCCAAAAACTTAACATAAAAAATTGATTACTAAAAAATATCTAAAACCAAAAGACACTAATTCTTATCAAGATCTTTCTGATAATACCAAATTTAACTATAAAAAATCCTCTAAAAATAATAATATGCTCGTCATAAAAATTTTCTTACTCTTTCAATTATTTAAATCACAAATTTTAGTCCCCGTGTAAAAAAAAAAAAATTGATCCAAAAATATCCCAAGCGTGGACATCCAAACGTGACACAATGAGGGACATTTTTTGGACATTTCGAGACATCACATAAATAATCAGAAATTTTCAAATAGTACATTTTAAGAACTTTTTCGTGAATTTTAAGTATTTTTTTAAGATTTTCAGAATACTAAGATAATTTTAGAATCAACGCGTTTTATTTTAAACAAATTTTGTCCTTAAAATCTTATATGGAAAAGTTTTTTAATAATCTTAAAACATTTTTTAAACAATTTGAGAACAAATTTTAGACAAATTTAGAACACTTTGGGACATTTTTGGAACGATTTTTAAAAGAAGTGATAATTTGTTTTTATACAGCTGTCGATTTGTCCGAAAATTCAATGGATGGAACATTTTTAGGACAATTTTAGAATGTTTTGAGAATATTTTTAGGACAATTTTAAAACGAAAAGGCACAAATTCAGGTCACGACCTTTCCCATGACAATAAATTTAATTTAAAAAACTCATAATATCATATAAATACTACGGAGATTTAATTTTCTTTATTCTCTTTAATATAGATTTTTTAATTTGAAAAATTTAAATAACTTGAAATTTATTTGTGCAAATAATTTTATAGAAATTGACCAAGGGATTTTTTTTAATTTTCTTACTATTATTATTTAAAAAAAAAATTACTGAAATAATGTCAATAGCTTTTACTTTATAAATACTAAAAATTAGTAAATTCGTTTAGTTAGTTTATTTTACAAAACAAAGAGAATGCAATTCTAAGTATAGTTAAATGTATTATGCAAAACTATTAGATAATTAATTTTGAAACCGGTGCATGACATTCTAATTATTAAATTATATATTGTTTAATTTCAGGCTATATGATCAATACTCATTTCAAATGATACCAGTAATGGGGAAGTTGATTGCAGGTCAATGGGAACCGTATCAATATTTAGTAGAGAGTATCAGAAAGTTTCCAAAACAAGATGAGTTGAAGGTATGTAATTTATATAATTAATCATTTCTACATAATCATAACAATTAAAAATTATTTTAACTTTTAGGGTATGATAGAAGATGCTGGATTTAGACAGGTGACATATAAAAATCTAACATTTGGAGTAGTTGCTATCCACTCTGGCTTCAAAATATAAAATTAAAAAAACGACTGGAGCTTAATTGATTCGTAAAAAGTATATGGAAGAATTCAAAGATTTTAATTTGTGTATTTTCAGGCATAATAAATTTTTTTTTAACTATTATTTTTATAACGAATAAGTTTTATTTATTATTTTACTTGGTGATAATTGTTAACTACGATGACATACAATTATAATATAAGTATTATTACATACTTATTAATCACATTGATCAAAAGTGATTTTATAAAATAAAAAAAAATTTCATATGTAAAATTATTAAAAAGGTCGGCTAACTTTAGTATTATAAAAAATCTTTATTATTAAAATATTTATAGTGAATAATTCACTAATTGACTTATCTTAAAGCCAGTAAATTAAAAGAGTAATTACGTCTTTTATCTTGATCATTTTAATGTCATAATAAAATCTTTGTAAAATTTAACAAAAGTTTAGAAATTAACGTCCGTGATAAAAAAGATTTTTTCTCATAATTAAATGATTTTTTCACATCCATAAAATAAAATTAAAAGTTTTTTTTTTTTTTTAGATTAAAGAACAATGAATTTATTTCAGCAACCAGTTCTTTGATAATCATCGGATAATTATGATTCCAGCAAATTTTATACAATATATATTAATACAGAAAAAGATAGTGCATTTTTAGAAATTTTTAATTTTTATTCAAATATTCAACAAAATAAAATAAATGGATTCTGTTATCTTATTTTTTCCATAAGTTAATAGTCGAAACATTGCAAAACTAACTTATTAATAACGATATTATTGCATTCATACCATCTGTAATACCTGACATCTTTTCTAAAAAGTAATGTATGGCAAAAAGTATAGAAAAAGAAATTAATATCTTTAAACGTTAGATTTATCTTTAATATACAATAATATTTCAAGTCAAGAAGTTGGTAAAATTTTAGCTACTTATAATGTATAGTGGCGGTAACACGTATTGATTGATTCATTACTTTCATAATGAATAAGATATTCTTTGATAATGCTATTACTATATCATTTCTTTGATAGCTCCAAATTTTGATATTTAAGTGCATACTAGTCGTGCGTACAATATGTACGTTGTACAGAGATATAAATGATTTTATTTATATTTTAATTTTTATAAAATTATAGGTAACATATAAATGAAAATCAATATTTAATATTGGCGACTATTATTTATAGCTGTTTATGTCATTCAAGAGATGATACAATTTAATTTTCGATCTTCTTATAGCATACATCAATTTGTACATTAATAGTGAAATGTCAATTTTTATTCTTATCATTTCTTTGAGTTAGAACCGCCAGCACTGAACTCAACTATATAATATACCTAATATAAAACAGAACACAACAGTTTTTTTTTTTTTTAGGCATACGCAATACATTCCATCATGTAAAGGAGTATGTCTTTCTTTTCAGTAAGCTTTCATACTCTTAGATTTTTCTTCTAAGTTAGCATTTAAAACTTTATTACTCGGAAAATTAACAATATTGAAAAGTATTATTTGATATATTCATTAGATTTTTGTGTTAATATATCTTTTTTAGTTATTATATTATATATATAAATACATGTATATATGTATATACATGCATAAATATATTTAATTTATTTATTTATTTGTGTTTACACATTTAATTTGAATTGAAAATTTTATATTGATTACGAAATTGATAGAGGATAGGGAAATATAATATAAGATAAGAGAGTAAGAAACCAGCTTATCCACTCTTGAATAGAAGAATTGCTACCTGACCTAAGTAAAAGTAAATGAAATGTCTTGTTTCGTGTGTCACATAGCTGCCAAAGTTCCGTCCAACAATACAATGCCACGTCGGGTTGTATTTCTTGTCAAATTCTTTTTTAATAAATGCTGCAATATCCTAAATAAGACGATAAATAATTGTTAATAAAATGTCAATTATTATAAATATTACACTACAATAATAAAATAATTTAAATTCAATTATACCTTCTCAATATTATATTTCTCTAGTGCTTGAGTTGCACAATCAACAGCATCTTGTTGCATTTCCTCCGACATATCGGCATTTTTGATTACAGCTTTACGGTCTGACATATTGTGTGGCCTGTAACAATAGAATTAATGACAAATAAATTTATTGTTTTCTTATAAATTGTTATACTACTTCATTGCCTGATACTTGGAGTAAAAGACACACTCAGTAATTACTGTTATCAATAATTCAATAAAATTACTGAGCTAATTTATAATTTTCTACAAATAATTTAAAATTTTTTTTATGAAAAAATATATATATTTTAAGGCCAGGTAATTAGTTGTCATGGAAACAATTCTGTAACAGTATGTTATACTTTATCTGTTTATAATTTACACTACAAAGAATTCAACTGAAATACTTTAAGAAAATATATTCTTAAGGAACATGAGATTCTTTGATCATTGATTTAACAATTTACTACCCTTGAAAATATTATTGGTTTTCAATATCGACAAAATTTAGTATTTTGCGTGACAAATACTCTTTAAGTTCCTGCTCCAATTTTAGTAGCATACATCAACTTAATTTCCATAAATGCAATAATATATAAATTGCTATGTTATTTCTATAAATATCAAAGTTCGTCTAATAAAATAACAAAAACCCAGCCAGGAAACGTGAAAAATCTATATCAGATAAAATTATAAAATATAATTAGCATTAATATCCTTGTATATAAAGATAAAAAATAATGCCACGGTTTATAAATAAATAAAAATACTTTTAGCTTCATTACAGACAATTATTAAAACCTTTTTAGCGGCACACGATCAATTTTAACAATGGCATGCACATCAAACACAGGCATATTTTGTTTCATTTCGTTTTATTTTACACTTTTTTTTTTTTTTTTTTTTTTTTTTTTTTTGTTACTTTTATTAAAAATAAATCGTCACTAATGGGAACTATATTTTATGTGAAACCTCAATAATTGACTATGAGTAGGCGAGTAAAAAAAAATGTTTTATCGATAATAAATAAATAAAAAAAAAAAAAAAAAAAAAAAAAAAAAAAAAAAAAAAATAGATCGCACGCAATAAATTCAATCTATAAAATTTTGGTTTTTGATTTACCTATAAATATTAACAAATGAAAATGAAATGTATGTAACAAATTATTGAAAAAAGCTGTAAAATGTTAGTCGTATTGTATGAATATGTTTGTTAAAAGTGACAAATTTTTAATTTATAAAATGGACAACATACCTTTTTTTTAGTAACAACCTTTATAAATTTAAAAGAAAAATACTTGTGATTTTTATTCTAATCTATCGTTATTTTTTCAATAATATTGGGTAATTAATTCAATGACTTTTGCTCACACGAGCCGATACCAAAAATTTGTCGTTCGGACTAAAGATTGAAGCGCCTGTGGCTACACTTACTGAGTTCTGATTGGTCCTCAATTAGGGTCTTCTATCAGAATCTTCTATCAACCCATAATGCCTTGCGACTCTCTGAAAATGGCGGTAAAAGAAGTTGAAAGACTTTTTGTGATAAAAATAGTTTTTTTTTTTTACTGACACGCAAAAATTAAAAAAAAAATTAATGATAATAATTTTAATGTGCAAAGAAAAAAAAAAGTGTAGTATTTTTGGCAGTAAAAACAAAGTTTAATATTTTTTTTATATAAAATGGAAGTGATGGAAATTTCCGGCATACTGGTAACATTGTATGAACATAAATCCGGTAGAATAAAACAGACGACAATAGGTTGATAAAATAATTTTCTATATCACCGAGAATATTTGTTTTCAAACAATAACAAAAAAATATTTTCAGATTGTCGGCTTATGAATTTTTTACTTCAAACGGATTATTTATTTAATTAGATTTAGATTTGAATACATTTTTATTGAAACGATGACTTCCCGTAAGTACTTAATGATAATTTATGTTCAAATCAATATAATTAAATTATTTGTAAACAAATCAGGTTATGTTTACATAAAGTGATTTAATTCACTGCTCTACATATAAATAAATTTTATTAATAATCTGAATTTTTTTAGAATCTCTTCGACATCTACTAAATTCAGTCATACAGAAATTTAAATTTGAAGAACTTGAATCAAGTGTAATGTTAGAATTTCCTGAGGTAACATGGGACCAAGTAAGATCTTGCTTGATTCGCAATCATGAAAGTTTTACGACTTTTAATGTATTAAAAATAATTAATCGCGTTATTCGTGTAAGTATAATTAATTTAATAAATGATGACACTGAAGTTGACAGGTATTAGAAATTTTTTTATAATTTTCTAGTAATGAAATTATTATGAAATAAATTTGATAATTAAATTCTACGTGAGAAAATTAAAAAAAAATTATTAGTAGAAATTTTTTATAAGCATTTTTTTTTTATTATAATTGATTTGTTATAAGAATTTAAAAATTGATAGTAGTCGGCTGACTTCTGTATCATTATGAATATTTACTTTTACAAGTGTGCTATCAGAAAGAGTTATTGCTTATTGCTATCTTTGTTACAGGATAAAAAACTGACTGAAAAAGATCTGAAAAGCCGCTTAAGTCATTTAGAAGTTATAGGTAATGCATAATAATTTTTTATCAAAGCAAAGGAATTTTTTATATATCTTTATTGGTTTAGTTATTTTAAATAGTTATACGATTTTTCTAATTAGTTTATTTAGCAATTTGATTAATTTATGAATAACTATGATTCTCCTTAAATTTTGTTCGCTTCAGCAAAATTTTCTGAGAAAATTCCATAATAAAAGTAGTATTTTAACCGATAATAAAAAATCCTCCAATCAAACCCGAAAATTAAAACATTACTAATGAATCACATAATACTCCATTTATAAAATTTATAATATAATTTTTCCATTTTCAGAAATTAGTCGACACTCAAATCGTAAAATGTGGCATGCATATGAGCTTAAAAACCGTAAGAATAATTATTATAATGAATATGATCCATCTGAAATTGAAGATAGCATGTTTGATTACTTCAACACACTCCAAATGAAAATGCACATTAAATCAGAAGTTTATAATGACGTAACGTACATAGTTATTCGTGAAAAGAAGTCACATCGTTTATCGCCAATTTGCATTGCATTATTTTTGGAACAAGATCTGTTTTTTTGTTCAAATAAATTAGTAACAAAAGAATTCTTACTCGCTGTCGTTAAAAGTACTGGCTACTCTGAATGTAAAAAGATACTACTGAGTGGTAAAAATATTAGTTCACTCATTAAAATTCATATTACGAATAAACGAAATGCTGTTGATGGAAATGACATGAGTGTTGATGAAGAATTCGAGGAAGCCCCTGGGGTTGTCAGGTAAATGTTCTATTTTTCTCTTTTTACACTTTATTCAAAATTTTGGATATTATTTAAATTTTGATGATTTTTTTTAGCAACATGGGGATCGATTTTAAACAAAATCAAAATCGAAGAGAGTATCTAGAGAAATATTTGGGAAGTGACGAGATTATTTTGGAGTCATTATTGGTAAAAAATCGGAATGTGCCGTGGGCTGATCCAAAAATCGCGGCAAAATTACCGGAAGTTAAAATTAACATGCAGTAAGTGAATAAAATTGATTTTTGATAAGATTATTTTTATTATCATTATTTATGTCTGATTAAAATAAAATATTGTTCTTGTTGGCTTATCTATATTATTAAGAAAATAAGAAAAATTTTGTCTCCAGGATAGTTATATCATAAAATCGGTTTTTTTTAGTGAAATTTAGTGTCATTGCAAAGGTTTTGACTTAAATTTGTGCCTTCTCAAGGTTTCATATCATTCTCACCGATAGTCAATTTATTATGATAAGTATTTAGGCTGCATTCGAAAATGTGCTATCCCTAGATACATAATTAAAAAATGACCTTTTATCTTGTGAACTATTAACATTTTTAAAGATATAAGCTCACCCCGATATTATACTCGTCGAGACCTTTCATTTGAGTACCCACATCAATTTTTCATGCATTTATGTATATTATATATGTATATATAAAAAATACATCAAAAATGCATGTGGGTACTCAAATGAAAGCTCTTGGTGAGTATAACATCGGGATGAGCTTATATCGTTAAAAACGTCAATAGTTAAGAAAGTACAATGCAATTTAACGAAAGTCATTATTTAATAAAGCAAAATTTTATTTATTTATAGTTCACAAGTCACGGCAGTCACATAGTGACTGCAAGGTTGCTAGTATCTATAATTTAGATAAATAAGTGTTGAATGATTGACCGATGTGTACAATTGAATATTAACAAAAATGATGATCAAGTTTTAAAACATTCAATTTAATAGTAACTCAATCAACCATCTGGATTATAATATGTTTTTTTTTTTTTATAGATGGGAATTCAAAAGCACGAATCTGAAGAAATTTTTATCTGAATGTACAGATCAAAGAGTTCTTGTAACACCGCTGCCAGATTATGCCAAGCATTTTCTCAAGTCTGGTAAAAATGAGTTGACTGTGCAACGAGATCGTTATAACAATGACTTATAATTTTTGTCTAGTATTATTTCATTTACATTTACATGTCAATATATTAGTTAATATTTTATCCGAACAAAAACAGTTTCACTGTAAAAAAATCGCGCCAAGTCCACGTTCATAAGACTATTAAGAAAAAAAAATTAGTTTTTTCTTTACAAAAAGATATAAAATAAAAAAATTAAAAAACCCAAGTAACCGATATGATTGTTTATGATTTACGGAAATTAAAAAAAATTTTGTTGTAAATTTAAAAATCAAAAAAA